TCATCTAGTTTGGATTGTAATGAGACCTTTAAAAAAAACAATCTCATTTCCTGGTTCTTAGCTGTGTTATAGATAACACATGATAAATTCTTATGTGAATTATTCCCAAATTAATCTGTTTTATAAATTAGCCTTTTGTGTATTGATTTTCTTCATTTGAGTTACACAGGTGAAAATGATCTCTTCCCTGTAAAATTTCTTGTCGTGCTGTTCTTGGCTCTCTTTTGCTCCATCTAGCCAACTTATATGTGTTGTTTCCCCATTTCTCCCTAATTCCCTATCCTATCCCACCTCCATTAGATTCTGAAGAATCACCATCATTTTTGTATTGGTTGACTTACTGAGTAAGTATTTAATAGCTTAAAAGATCTTGAGAATCTCCCTAAAGTGATTCCTTCAACAAATATTTATTGAAATGCCTAGTAGGGATAAGATATTATACTAGATACTAGGAATCCATGAATGATAAATGACAGTCCCTGCCCTCAGGAAGCTTATATTCTGAGTCAGGGAGAGGCAGAATGCACAGATGTGTATAATGTAAGATAGAAGGACCAAGAATGCTCTAGGAAAATTTCAGGAGAATGAAGGTAGACTTTTACTTCTGTGTAATCAAAGAAGGCTTCATGGAGGAGGGCATCTGCTGGGGTTCCAGTCTCTCCTGATTGGATATTAGTTCCTTGGGAGGAGAGATTGTTTATTAGTTTGTCTTTGTATCTCCAGGATTCAGTACAGTGTCTCCCATTTAGTAAGCACTTGAGAACTTCTTATGGATTGATTGATTTCTAATGAAATATAAACAAAGATATCCCAAAACCTTTAATTTACTTGGATCTGGATAGAATCTTTTAAATGAAACTGTTGATACTGGAATAGTAACAAAACATCTATTATTTTAGTGATGCTGTGTAGTTCTCAGAATACTTACACTTATATTAGGCTTATTTGATCTTTACAATACCCCAGTAAGGCAAAGAAGCAGGACTAAAACCCAGGTCTTCTGATTTCTAGTTCAGTATTCTTTCTGTGTCAGGAAATTCTTCTTTTTAAAATGGAAGAAGTTAGGATACATTCCAGTTGTTTATATGGAAACCTTCACCTGTCAATAATTTGGAAGTCATGTCTTTCAGTCATTCAGCATTTATTATATTCGTACTATAGGTCAGGCACTGTGCCAAATGCTCTGGATACAAAGAAAAGCAAAACCCAGTCCTGCCATCAAGGAACTCACATGCAAAATATGTACAAAGTCGATGGAAGGTGCTAATAATCCAGTTGGGGATGGGAGTGGGGAAAAGGAGGGGAGAGAAGGTAAAGTCTCCTGCAGAAGGTTAGAGGAGCTGAGTTTTGAAGGAGGAGGGCATGAAGGAACAGAACATTCTAGACTCAAACGAATCAGGTCAGTCTGTACACATATATTTATTAGGCACTTACTGCATGCCAAGTAACCTGCCGAAGGTCTGAGGGCCAGCCACCCCCTGACTCCTTTACCACCAAACAAAAAAAAAAAGCCATAGTTTCTGCTCTCAGAGTCTACATTCTAATATGGAAGATGACATGCAAATATCTCGGTACAGCCAAGCTATTTATGAAGGTAATCTGAAAGGAGAAAGCATTAGCAGAGCTAGCAGGTAGGGGAGAGGGAGGAAAGGGGAAAGAGCTAGCAAAAACCTGCTGCAGAAAGAACTGAGTCTTGAAAGAAACCAGGGAAACAAAAGGCAAAGGTTTGGGAGCAGAACATTCCAGGCATTGGAGACAGCCAGTGAAAATAATGGGAAAAGAACTATCTTGTTCAAGAAACTGAAAGTAAGATGGTATAGCTGGATTGTAATATGTGTTGACAGATCTACAGTATAAGTAGGTTGGAAAGGTAGGAGGGGACCAGCTTAGGAAGAGCTTTAAATGTCAAACAGAAGAGTTTATATTTGGTCCTGGAGTTAATAGGGAGTCTCTGAAGCTCAGTGAGCATGTGGATGACATGGTCAGACCTGTAAAATCATCTTGACAAGCAGAGTGGAACATGATTTGGAGTGCGGTGATATAATTGAGGCATGTAGACCAGTAGTCGAAATGAGAAAATGATGAGGACCTACACCAGTTGTGGCTATATGAGTCGAAAGAAGGAGACATATAGGACAAGTGTTTTCAAGGTAGAAAAGACAAGATTTGGCACTGGATTAGATACATGGGGTAAGGATGATACTGACGTTGTAAACCTGGGTAACTGGGAGGATGACATTGTCTTCAACAGTAATGTGGAAGCTGGTTTAGGAAAAGATACTAAGTTCTGTTTTGGACATGTTGAGTTTGAGATATTCACGTGATATCTAATTCAAGGTGTCCACTAAGGCAGTTGATAATGCATAAGTGTATAAAAAGTTAGATGAAAAAGGTTGCTGATGCCTCCAGTGTTCATGAATCTTATTATAGACGGGTTGAAGAAACTTCAGGGACACATTTAGAAATTTCACAGCAAAGTAGCAGATGAAATTCTGCTCTAATAGGTCTAAGTAACAACTGTTAAGAAGACTCATTCTTTACCAAACTAATCTGCTGTACACTAATATAGTTACTCAGAAATAACCCTGCACATATCAGCAGAAGAATGATTGAATCATTGGGTGCTTAAGGAGTATCATAAGAGAGGATTTATCTTTATTGATCCATCATAGAATTGATCAAGCCCTTATGAATAAATTCTAGTATAGAACTTGTTAATTTCAAGAAGAATTTAATATCCTGAAGAGAGCACGAAATAGTGATAAAAAATTAGTCTTGTTAGGCTTAATTAGCTAGGGGAAAGAAGGAATATTAATAATAGTAATATTTAGGTACTTGACAGGTTCTTTGGGATTTTCTCTGTTTGTTTCAAGGTTTGAATTAGAAAAAGTGAATTCACTATAACAGTAGTCTTAAGTAAGGATTGTTTCTCATATATACAACTAACTCTACAATAGAATTCACTTGCAATTAATAAAGCTATCTAGATTTTTAAAGATTGCATATAGTTTATTATAACTGACTTATGAACAGAAATTTTTGTTTAGAATGGCGTAAATAACATTTAAGGATAATTTTTATTAATAGCAATAATAGCTAGTGTTTATATAGCATTTTAAGATTTGGAAAGCACTTTACAAATTTTATCACATTTTATCCTTACTATAACCATGGGAAGTAGGTACTCTTATCATTCCATTTTTAGATGAAGAAACTGAAACAGATAGGGTAAGTGACATGCCCAGCTAATCAATCACACAGCTGGTAAGTGTCTGATTTGCACTCATATTTTCCTAACTCTAGGTCAAGTACTCCACCTACTGTACCACATAGTTGTTCCTAAGTGTTTACATGTTTATAGGTATTTAATTGAATTAAAATGGGGAGAAGAAGAAATAATAATAATAGCTAACATTTTTATAGTGGCTACTATGTGCCAGACACTGCTAAGTGCTTTACATTTATTATCTCATTTGAGCCTCACAACAACCCTGGGAAGTAAATGATATTATTATACCCATTTTACAGTTGAGAAAACTGAGACAAAAGTTAAGTGACTTGCCCTGGTCACACAGCTAGTAAGTAGTTGAAGCAGGTTTTGAACTTGTGTCTTCCTGACTCTAGGTCTAGCACTTCACTAACTGTGCTATCTATCTGCTTGTGTTTATATGTTTATAGCCATTGATTGAATTACAGAAGGGGAGAAATATGCTCATTGGTAAACATTAAAAAGCTAGAATACCTATTATTCATATTATATAAACAGTCCTGAGAATTGAAGATATAAAGTAGTGTTTTCTTTAGAGTTCATAGTCAGAACAAGATTTATTTCCAAATTCACTGACATTAATTTGACAAAAATTTGCTGTTTTCGAGGAGAAGATTGGCATTAAGCAAAAATCATTGGCATGATAATTTTGAAGCATATTGAGGTTTACAAAAAGGACTTAAAAGGTGTCACCTAGAGATAGCACAAGACAGTTATGATCAATTGCGTGAAGATAGGTTGCTCTGCCAGAACTCAGCATCACCTAACATGAAGTATTGCTTGCCAACCTTAGAAATAAGAGTGAGTTGCCTGACCCATAGCAGATGACCAGTATAAAAACATTTCTTTCCCTTGGTACCATTCCATGGGATTTGGGTTGTCTCTTCAATACAATTTCAAAAATTATTGTTTATAAAGATGTACTATTGTCCTTATAAGAAATAAGTGAAATGATTTGAAAAGGATAAGGAAAGACATCTGTGAACTGAAATAGAATGAAGTGAATAAAAACAAGTTTATACTGTAGCATCAATAATAAAAGTGAACAGTTTGGAAGACTTATATAAACTAATGAAGAATGTACTGAGCAGAACCTTTTATACAATAACAGCAATGTAAAGACATAACTTTGAAAGGTTTGAGAACTATGATCAATACAGCGACCATTCATGATTTCAGAGGACTGATGCTGAAGCAGGCTGTCAGTTATAGAGAGGTGGTGAATTTTGGGTGCAGAATGAGATGTAGATGTATTTTTTTTTTGTGGATACCTATTGAGTAAACTTGTTTTGCTTGAATATGCAAATTTGTTAAAATAACTTGTTTTCTATTTTTCAATGAGAGGGAGAGTGGGTGGGAGAGAAAAGAGATTTTTTTTTTAAGAGAAGTGGGAGAGTGTTACAGATGAGAAAAATTGTGTGAATTTTCTGATGCTATTACTGTAATTTTAGTTTTATTTAATTGTTTTACTTTGTTACATGAGACATATCATGAAGCAAGAGTAATCTGTAAAAAATTATGATGTAAAAAAATAGCACATTCATAAAACCAGAAGGGGAAAAATGAAAAATAGATAAATAAGATGGTGGGAAAATCCTACTACATCCACCCTCACTGAATGTATCCTGGCAAATGTGTTTCGAATACTGACTTGGCTTCAGTGAAAATCAGAATGGTTTTGGAGGCTTTCTTGTTGCTTGTGAACAATATGTTTCTTTATTTGCTTTTACAGATTGAAGATGGTATGTTTTCTTTGAATCATCCTAATCAGTATTTTTTGGAGAGCCAGAAGCTTCTCAGTGGTGGCCGAGAAGTCAGGAAGGAGCCTAGCCAGCCAGAAGTTCCTCAGGCCAAGCAGAGTGTCCAGAAAACTGCTAATTCCACATCTTCTCCCCCAGCATCTTTAGATTCTACACTGGAAATGGATATGGAAGGGTTGGAGGGTTACTTCAGTGAATAATACTTGACTGTCTACCTTCTTTCTCAGCTTTCAGTTCTTCTTCCTAGGTTTTAGCAGTTCCCCCCTTCCTAACCTAATTAGTAACAAGAAAGAGTCATTTTCCAGGATGGATATAGTTATTTCATTCATTTTATAACCTGAAATTAGTATCTTTTCATTCCTCTTAGTTTAACCTATTGCTTTGCCACTCCTTTTTCTCTCTACCATCCTAATGAAAAATAAATACTGAAATGGAAATGGAAACGTGTATGTGTGTGAGGAAAAAGAAAATACTGAGGGCAAGAGCTGACCTAACAGCAGATTGGATGTTGTCACATTTTTAGAAAAAATTGATGTCATATTCTAGGGACTTGCTAACATATTTCTGGTTGCCAAATGCCAAGAAAAGAGGGGGGTGTAAATCATCAGAGAACAGCAGACCAGTCCTCAAAACTATTTCTCATCTGACCAGTCCCCTCTATTTTTGATTTTTTGCATAAAAAAGAAAAAATCCCTTGCTGAATGGATTGTCATATTTTTTTTTAGTGGCTGTGATTGGCAGCAAAATGTCTCAAGTGTATCGTAAATGAATGGATAAAGGGAAACAAAGAAAGACCTTGTATATAATCTGGTTTAGTTTTCATTTTCATTCGGAGGCCTCATTACCTAAAGTAATTAAACTTACCAACTTTAATTTTCAGTTTATTCTTTGATAGGCTCACTAAGAATCAAGAGTTGGTTAAGGGGGAGATATAAGGGAAGCTTATATGATTTAATTTCATCTTCTGTCCTTTAAAATTCAGTGCTCCTGCTTCTGTTGACATTGAGTAAAGTCAAATAAGTTTGGTGGCTTACGTGGTTTTGCTGGAACCATAAGCTTCTTGGAAAGTAGTGTAGTGTTACGAAAAGAGGATGAGACTTCAGATGCCTCTCTTTAGAGCTGGCAGAGACCTTTGAGGTCTGCTCCTGCCCACCCAATCCTCCATTTCATGGAGGAGGATCCTGAGCCCCAGAGAAGTGGGATGATTTAGGGAATCCTAGATCTGGGGCTGGGGGGAACCTCAGAGGCCACCTAGGCTAGTGATTTTCCTAAAGCGCCGGTCACGTCGCTCAGTAAACTCCAGTGGCTCCCTATCATTTTAGGATTAAAAGACTTTCACAACCTAGCCCCTTTCTACCTTGCCAGGCTTCCTGTACCTTACTCCTGGCCACATACTCTTTGATTCAGTGACACAGGACTTCTTGATATCCCATGAACTGAGACACCCCGAATTGTCACTCCTCTTAGATTGTAAGCTCCTGAAAGGCAGAGACTGTTTTTTGCCCTTTTTTTGTATTCCTTAGGCCAGGCCTTGCCACTTACTTGGCATTCACCAATATCCAAAGGAACGAGCCTATCTAAATTTCAGTTTCCTTTCTTCCTTGGAGTCAGAAAGACCTGAGTTCTAATACTGCCTCATCCATGTACTAGCTGTGTGACCCTGTGTGAGTTACTTAACCTTTCTTAGCCTCACTTTCCTCATCTGTAGAACAGTACTGATAATAGCATCTATATCACAAGATTGTTGTGAGGATCATTATGATACCATATATAAATGCCAGCTATGATGATGACAAATTATGTTGTTGTTGTTTAGTAGTTTTCAATCATGTCCAACTCTTTGTGACCCTATTTGAGATTTTCTTGGCAAAGATACTGAAGTAGTTTGCCCCCTCCTTTCCTAGCTCATCTTAATACATGAGGAAACTGAGGTAGCTACTGTGTGTCTGAGGTCTCCTTTGAACTCAGGTCTTCTTTATTCCAGGCCCAGTGCTCTATCCACTGCATGATCCAGCTGCCCTAATGATAGATTTTGTCATTATACAAAGTTATCTAAACTTAATCTCTTGGAACTGTTTTGTTTGTATATTTTATGGGTCTATCCCATTACAGGATTACCTTTCAGGAGGTCGAAGAGAGATTTAGATCAGTCAGCAAGTATTCATTAAGCTGTTACCTTGTGCCAGGCAATTTTCTAGGCACTGGGCATAAAATATACAAGTAAGACAGTTTCTGCCCTCAAGGAGCTTACATTCTACTAGGGTAATTCACTATATTTACGGATAAGTTTCTGTTATGATAGAAGAAGGGAAATAGTAAGAACACCCTTCTTGCTGTAGTTCAGTATGGCATCTTTTTTTGTGGATTGTTTCATAGCTGGCAGCATTTAACAAAACTCCCTTTTTCTACTGTCCCACATTTTAACCTTCTATTTTTTTTCCTCTTTTCAAAATCATACACTTTCTTCCTGACTTACCTGTTTTGAAAGTTCTCTAGTCATCAAAAGAAGGGAGAAACTGTAGCCTGGTGCACGTACCATCTTCTTCTTAGTATGTTTTGTATCTTGGTAGAGTATTGATTTTAAACTGTGAACCCCCAGAGTCAGGATCATGTTTCTCCCTTATCTCAGGCCAGAATTCTGTTGGTGTTTACAAACAATACTAATTAAAGTACCTCGTCGTTAGTAGCATTACACACTCACTTGTTTTGTAATAAAGTGTATGATCTCCTGTTACTTATGTACATGTAGGAAATTATCAAAAAAAACTTGAGAAATGTTGATTAGTGGATTTAGGAATGGGGAGGGGGTTGTATCAGAAGGCAGAAACTAATGCTCTTCTACTGCTTTATTCAAGCTGGCAAAGGCAATTTATTTTTCATGCTTCGAGGATCTTGACAATTTTGATTCATTTTCCTAGTGAGCCAACCTGTTTGAATTGGATAATGTAAGAAGTACCCCAAAGAAAAATTAAAGAATAGCAGCTTTCTATCATACTCAAAGAGAAAGAATATGAGTCTTCCATATCTTTTAACTTTCTGTGCTTTTGTAACCTCTTCAAGGGGGGCAAGGCTGTGTGATAATTGAGAAAAAATAGGCTGGACATTTAAAGCTGGTAGAAGCACTGACATTGTTAGTGCAGAACCTATCATATTGTCTTTTGTGTTGTTGCCTAGTCATTTTTCTCCTTCTGCCTTAACAGTTTGAAAAGAAAAAAAAGCTTAATTCCAAACTACATAAAAGAACACCAAACAGCTTTTAAGTAAACTTTTAAGACCACTTCCAATATTGTAGAGTCGTAAAAAGAAATGGTTAGAGATTTTAAATGAGATGGGGATATGTACCAAGCAAAGGAAAGATCTTTAATTCATATAGAATTTTTAAGAAGCCTAGGGATTTCTTCTCTGTCTAAAAGCACGCGGGGTGTTTTGCTTGTTACAGTCTGCTGTCTTACTGATACTCAATGACTTTGCAAGCAAACTTCTGTTATTCTTTGTGAAGAAGAAAAGCAAACTTCTGGGATTTCAACTTGAAAGGCAAGATGAGACAACTCTAAAGTTCCAGATTTGGTGAGAGTGTACTGTTTGCAAATTTAATCAAGGTCTTCCACAGGCATCAGCTTGACATTAAATTTAAGTGCCCATTAAAGGGAGGGTTTGACAGCAGCTCAGAATGCAAGGCTTAATCGGAGGACATCTTTACAGCTTGAAGGGGGAAAAAAGTTGAGAAGCCTCAAACCACTGTAGTAATTAGTGCCATTTGCCAGCCTTCCCTTCTAATGCTAGGGAGGGAAGATGAGGCTAGAAGGAGAGAGGGGCTAGAATCTAAATGTGGAAGAATGAGGCAGAGTAGTATGCTGGATAGAGCAATGGGGTTTATATCCTACCTCAGACTCTAGCTGTATGACCCTTAGTAAAAATCACTTAACTTCTCAGACCCTGTTTTCTTATCTGTGAAATGGGAATGACAATAATAGTACCTACCTCACCAAGTGGTTGTGAAACTTCATTGAGATGATGTGTGTAAAGGACTTTGCAAAACTTAAAACAATTTATAAATGTTAGCTATCATTATTATTAGAATGCTATCCAGTGAGCCCTGTGAGAATAGGGTCTTTGGCCAGCTGTCATATGGGAAGGACAATAGATCCTAGATGAAGAAGGGAACTGATTTTGAGCACTTTTGAGCATGGAGCATGGTGTAGTGGATAAAACACTGACCTTGGAGTCTGTAAGATCTGGATTCAAATCCCATTGCAGATAGCTGTGTGACTGTGGGCAAGTCATTTAGCTCTTCTGGCCCTCAGTTTCCTCATCTGTAAAATGGGGGGGCAAGGTTTGGACTTAAATGGTCTCTAAGGTCCTTTCTGTGATCTGTGGCCCTTTGATTCCTCTCAGCATAGCATAAATAATGAAATGGTGAGTTTGAAGAAACCAGATATTGGTGTGGCTTTAAGCTATGGGCATGTGGCCCTTTCAAGGTAGATAACATTTGATCATAGGGATGGGAACAGGAAGGACCAGCAGGCAGTACTCTATGTTCTTAAATGTTGTGCTATTCAGATCAAAGCAATGACCAATCAACTTCAGAAAACTTGATTAGGAAATCTACCCCTCCCCACTACAAAAAATGAGGTGGTGGGCTATATAGGTGCTGAATAAAACATTTGAGATCATAAGTAGTCAATGTGTCTTTTGTTTTACTTTGTTATGAGGAAGGGTTCTATGTGAGGGGATAATGGGAAATGACAGCAATGGCTGTTTTTTTGTTTTTTTTTAAGCTTTGATAAAAATTTTTTTAAAATGAGGGTACTTACTGTGCTCTTGGGAAGTTAGTTTATTTGACCATAAAATAAGGCCTCTTCTTTGGGATCCAGTTCACTTTTGACAAGCAATCCATGGCTACAGTCTAAGGTTTCCCATCGTAATTGGCTTTGTAAGCAATTAGCCTTATGACTCTATGGAAATATTGTGTCCCACAGGAAATTATCTCCCCACTCCATCAGACCCTGCCAAAAATGATACTGTTTCCTCTTACTGGATTGGCTTTCCCTCCTATAAGCTGTTTTTATCCATTCCTCCATGGTGTTTTATTTTTCCTGAGAATAATCACTGCAGAACCTTAGCAAAGGCTAAAGAATATGTAGGGATATGAAGTCTCAGTATTTACCTTGAGTCTATGATTGCAGGACTGTTTTTGAACATTGATGACAATGTAGTGAAACAAGGCCTTTAATAAATGCATGACAGATTTTCCAATTCAGCTCAACATTTCTAGGTGTTCATTTGCTTCTTTAGGAAGCCGTTTGTTTTCTGCTTTTGCATTGTAAGCATAGAAACAAAATAAATTTAACAGATGCTACATTTAATTTAAGACAGAGCACAAGTATTGGCTTTCTCTTTGAGTGTTGTAAGAAAACTAACAGTGTCACAAAAATGTTCCAAG